GGGCTATGTAGGATATATATATCCTACCACATTCAATTCAATCTCAAAATATTTACCGAAAATCAAGTATAGGCTAGGCACTACACCATGGAATACAAAGTTAATTGAGAAATATCCTTGATCTTGAGAGACACATGAACACCTAACAGTGTAAACACTAAAAGGGATGGTATTATGAAGCACTATGCAAACAAAAAAAAAACTCTTTTGGGAGAGGGGTAAGAAAAGCCATAAAGAGGTGATATTTGAGTTGCAAAGAATGAGTAGGTGTCCAACATGCAGATATAATAAAATGAAGGATTGTAGGTAGTAAAAGTGGGGAGTTCTGGTAGTATAGTGCCTAAGGCATTTGACTGTTAACCAGAAGGCTGGCAGTTCAAACCCACCAATCACTCCTCAGAAGGAAGGTTGGGCAATCTACTTCCATAGTGATACTGCCTCAGAAATCCAAAGGAGGGGTGGCTATGAGTCGGATCTGACTCGACAGCAGTGAGCTTGGTTTGTTTTTTGGCAGGCAGTAAAAACCCCACACAGGTTTTAAGCAATTTGTCCAAGGGCTCAAACAAGCAGAGCTATGTAGCAAGACAGTCCGACTTCAGAGTCCACAATCTTAACTACTGTTACTAAGGCCCTACAAGCTTTAAAGTTTAAAATCTTATGATCAAAACAGAGGTCAGGGATCTTCAAAACTATATACAAATTTTTTTGTTTCTTAGTATTCCCTTGCACAAAATATTCATTATACTTTTTGCTTGTCTTTTCCAATGAATAACAGTCAAGCCTAGAATAAGAGTGAGTATACCCACACATACTTAAGAGTGATTTTCAGACTCATCCTTATCTAGATTTGAGCATTGCAGGCTTCCTGGAGTACATTTAGGCATATATTTACAGTCTAAACCAGAATGAACACCTACAATCTTTTCCTTTATGATGAAGGGATAATAGGGGGTGACCTTTTGTTATTTTTATCCTAAAATAGATGGATTTTTATTAATTTCTTATTCTTTACATGCCCATAGTCTCCCTTATTCAGGGTACATGGGGAGATTGTCTTTCCATTCCACTTTGGTCTCGGTCTTTCTTTTTCTCAAGTGCCATTTCCTGTTTTTGTTAGCTGCTATCAGCTCCGACTCATGGTGACCCCACGTACAATAGAATAAAGTCTGCTATCTTTGCACCCACTGGTACCCTTGAGTCCACCGTTGCAGCCACAGTGTATTCCGAGGGCGTTCTGACTTCAGGGCTCAACTTCCACACTGTATCAGACCATATTCTCTTTGCTCCATAGGGTTTTCACTGGCTAATTTTCAGAAGTAGATTGCCATGTCTATCTTCTTAGTCTATCTTAGTCTGGGAGCTCTACCCAAACCTGTCCACCATGAGTATCCCCCCCTGGTTATTTGAAATACTGGTGGCATAGTTTCCAGAAATATAGCAACATGCAAAGTACCATAGTATGACAAACTGACAGAAGGGTGATGCCACCTCTTATACTTCCCAAATTTTACCTAGCTTCTCTTTGATTGCCTTTCCTTTACATTGTGTTTCTTTGGAATTTTGCTCTAAGTGCTTTTTGAATTAACCATTAGAACTGCCTTCCTTAGAGACTCCATTCACTCACTTACTGGCTTTGAAAATAAATTTAGCCTCACCCAAATACTAACCCTGAAGGCTACATGGGATCTGGCCTCATATCAGGAAATTGACATAAAACAATATGAATAAGCTAGCAACAGAACAAATCTTAAATATTTAGTTAATGTGAACAAACATATAAAATAAAAACTATATTCATCCAAAAGGAAAACAGAAACAAAGCAATTTTTTCTTCATTTGTGCACAGTGAGGTTTAGAGGTTTACTGATCAAAAAGCATTGCTTTGGAAGAAATACATACTTTTAATTTTTTTTTTAAGAATCTGATTAAATCTATGGATTCAATCCAGGGAAAATACATATACACAGAATTCTGTAAGAAATTCATAGGAGTTCACGCCCTCTCTGATGGCAATCCCTTCCCCAGCAGTCTGAGGATGGGCCTAAAATATTTTATTTGGAAATTTCCATTATGTATGGGTTATACATGCAGAAATCCTTATGGAGCACTTTCTACTGAACCAGTAGTAATAGTAGGAGCTGCTATTTTTATTCTCAAAGAATAGTGAAGAACTTTAGGAAGTTGGGATTTTTTAATGAGAATTTTTTCATGTTAATTTCTAACACCTTTCTGAAAAGAATATCATGAGTAGACTGGTCATTTTGTGAAATAATACACAGAAAACATTAAGAAGATGGCAGGAGAGGAGAGCAAAAGAGTAGAGTGTTTCAAATAATATACACCAAGTGGAGTGTACAATGTTATGTGTAGAATGGTGCTTGATAAATAACATGGGATAATTCAGAGCCTTACTTTTTTTTAAAGTAAATACATAAGAAGCAGTAATCATTTTACAAGCTCAAAAGCAGACTAATGTATGAGGGTATACATTGGCATATTTGTAAACTATATCCATTCAAAAACTCACAGAGAAGACAATTTATATTACATTCAACATGTGCCTATTCACATGATAACTACTGCAAAGTAAATACAAAATGAAATTCCAACATTTTAATTCAGTATATTTATGACACAGTTTCAAAAAAAAGGCAATTTTTTCAATCAAAAAACAGAACTCTCTCAAGCACCAATTCATTATTTTATGTAAAAATACAAGTCTAAGCATTCCCATTCAGGATTAGTCAGTAAAGATGTGTCTCTATGTTACTGAAATATAGATAAAGTTTTTGATTTTAAGGTAATGGTACTTTTGATTTATAACTGACCTTAAAATAGAAGATGCTAATATAGCTATTCTTTTTAACATTTTCAAAAGTCTTCAAAATTTACATAATGCAATTCTGCAAAAGTACGTTTTGCCATTCATTCAATACACATAATTTAATACAGGTCACAAAATTTCAATTAATTAACCAGAAACCTATAGCTATTTCCCATCTATTAGGGTTCAATCTTAAATCTCACTTTGTATCAAAAGTAGTGGTCCAGAATTTATTTAATAAAATTAATCACAAGAATTACTTGGTAGTTTTAAAATTATTTCATTTCCTATAAATATATATCACTAGATAGTCTAGACCAACAGTTCCCTGCATCAGAATTATCTAGAGAGCTCTTTAAAAAATACAGATTACAGGCTCCATCTTTCAACTACTGAGATCTAGAAGTATCTGTGTTTCTAACAAACTCCCAGGTAATGACAATATGCAGCCTGCTATGGGAACCTAGACCTTTAGGGTACACCAGAATCATTTGGGGAAAACTTTAAAAAAATAACAACATATTTGATTCAGTAGACTTAGAGTGGTGTCTAGGAACCAGCATTTTAAAGAATCATTTCCACAAACTCCTCTGAGAAACAACACACACACACATACACACACACACAGCCTTTATCACATTATATATGAGTACATTCAATGATTTAAATGACATTGTCCTGCAAGACCTAATGAATCCTGCCCTAGGCAGTTTTAGCAAGTGTTTGAGGGCAACACTTGGCATTTTTAAATAAAATATATTTCTATTAAGCATAAAGTTGAAATCAAGTGAATTGTGAGGCCGTAATTCATTCATTAAAGGGAAAAGATCTTTCAACAAACTATTTAAAATTTTAAAGTTTTAAACGTTTAGCACTCAATTGAAATCTAATGCTTTCTCCATCATTAGTCTGACATGTGGTTAGAGGTAGTGGTTCTAGCTTGCCAAAAATGTAATGTGGATTATAAAAGATACACATTCCATAAACCTTTATAGGTTCCAAAAATTCCCTATGTGATAGAGATTAGAAACCAGTTGAATATTAAATAAATACACTTGGACTTGAAAAACAACAAAACTTCCTATTTCCCCTCATATAATAAGCTCCTACATATAATATTGGGAAAATATCTAGAAAACACTAGAGGTATCATGCTCCCCCTTTAATGAAGAAGCTATCTACTAATATTCTACCATTCCTGTCCTTATCTATAAAGTAGGTAGTTGGTATACGTAAGTTTACTTTAGGAATTTTTTAAAAGCACAGAAAAGGTAACTACTATAAGGCCACACAGCAAATCAGAGGGCAGACAGAAGTAGTGACTAGACCTTCCAGTTGGAAAGCTGGGTTCATTACCTTATCTACTTGACAACTCTCTTTCAGTGTATGATGCCTGTCACTAAGTATTATAAATATTTAAGCATATTGAGTGTGTGATAGTGCCACAACTCCCTAAACCTTAGAAATAGACGTAATCGGCCTTGAACCCAGAAGTTACCTAAGAACAAAACAGCAACAAGAAAAGTTCAGTGTGGTTTCAGACTCTAGAAAGCAGACAGCATCTACGGTTAGGGGAAATCTATCTGGCACTGTGTTCGCTTATCCTTTGTCTAAGATGTATACACTTTGTCTAAGATGTATTCACACATATACACTTTCCCATCACGCTCTTTACAAAGGCTTTTACAACCTCATTCCCAGCGGTATTATATTAAATAGTTGGCCTATCTTCCTGACCAAGCAATGAAAAGGCAATTACCAAAAAACAGCATGTATTATTGCCAGAAAGGCAAGTCACCTTACAAAGTAAGAAACTGAAACTTCTAAATCTATACCGATTAAGCCAAAAATTGTATACTAATTTTTAACCACTTAGAGTCTAGATTATTATAACAATCACACCATTTTCCAGTTTATAAATGATTCAAGGCCAAAGTAATAAATTTTAAAATTAAGTAAATGTTGAAAAAATTACATACAAATATCAAAAACAAGTAATATTATGCCTACTATTAAGAAAAATGGCTGATACGAAGCTAAGGAGACAAAGCAATACTGGGAAAACAATTTCAAAATATAACAATGGTATAAGGCACTACCTTAACTCCAATTACACTTAGGTTGTCTTAAACGCAAAGAATATGGGGTAAGCAAAGGAAACACATACAAAGACATTCAACTTTTCATGTCCTTTTTGCTGGTTTGGCAGTTAACTGTTTTTCTCTTTCAAATTCCTTCTCTCGTTGCTGCTCTCTTTCCAACTCTTCTTTCTGCCTTTTCTGCTGCAGTTTAAGTGCTCTTTTCTGTGTCAAAAAATTTTAAAACCAAGTAAACAATCAAGTATTATAGATTATAGCCTAAATTAAAAGTAATAGTGCTTTGCTTTGAGGTAATAGATACATATTATAAATTTAACATTTAACTTAAATCAGTTCTGTGTACTTTTAACTTTCCCTTAATAAAAAAAAAAAAAAAAGTTACTCCAAGCTCTCCTTAGATGGGAATTGCAATACATATCCAAAGAATATGAGCTTACCAGCCCAGCTATTAGCAGAAAAGCCTAGAGTGAGGTTCAATAAAATATTTTAAAAGAAAATAATGTATCATACATTAAGTATGTTATTGTATATAGATATATAAAAAGCCAAAAGGTAAATACAAAAGAAAAATTGGTAACTAAACCTTCATTTTTATAAAGAAGGTGAAAGAAGAATTTTCAACTCACTTTTAACTTTGATGTCTTTTCATGAAGCATCAGCATCTCTTTTCTTATATTCACTAACTTGGTATGATAGTGTTTAGCTTCAGTAAACTTAACATGTAAAAGTAAATGAAAATTCAGTTAAACAAATATCTAAATGGATGAGTAAGGCAATGCCAAAATGACAAATCATTATTGTTAAGTTGGTCAATTTTGTAAAAGCCTTAATTTTCTCCATCATTTAATTCCAAAATATAAATTTCATTTAAACCATAAGTTGGATTTTTAAAACCCTCTGGTGCTGTAATGCCTAAGGCATGTGAATGCTAACCAGAAGGCTGGCAGTTCAAACCTACCAGCCACTCCTTGGAAGGAAACTTGGGCAATCTACTTCCATAGTGATACTGCCTCAGAAACCAAGGACGGGTCACTATGAGTTGGATCCCACTCGACGGCAGTGAGTTTGGGTTTGTTTTTTGTTTTTTTTTTTTTTGGAATGACAATTCAGTTCAGATGATTTTTTTAAAAGTTACTGACCATAGAATGTTGTTGTTGTTATGTGCCGTCGAGTCAAACCCGACTCATAGCGACCCCTCCTTGGGTTTCCGAGACAGTATCACTACGGAAGTAGGATTGCCCAACCTTCCTTCCGAGAAGTGGCTGGTGGGTAGACACTTATATTATATTGTGCACAGATATTTTGCTTTAAAAACCTGCAATAGAATCCTAAAATTTCAATAAAACTATCCAATAACACTATCAGTTACATTCAAGAAAACTAAAACACTTCTCCTGAAGTGACTGAGCCACACAGTTCATAGGACTGTTTAGGGGAAGAGTCTCTGCCCATGAGGAAAAACAAAGCTGTAGTCAGAGATACCTGAGAGGAGTATGACCCGAGCCTAATCACATTCCCTGGGCTTGTGAAGCCAGACCAAGCAGAACAGCCTATGTGAAGGTGCTTTTTTTTTCCCAAGGAGTTCTAAGTGGACGTTACATCTTAGCCAACCTCCACAGTGAAAAGAGAAGTCTTAATTCAGCAATAGATGAGAGGATGATGCAGATCTAGCTAGTAAGGACAGAAGCAAAATAGCACATCAATCTTGGACAAGTTAATAAAGAAAGAAGAAATAAGAGAAATTTCACTAGAAAGATAAACAACTTTAATGTAACTACAAGTCAAGTCATCCACCACTCATCTGTCAGTTTGTCATGATGCAGTGGCTTGCATGTTGCTGTGAAGCTGGAGGCTATGCCATTGGTACCAGATAACAGCAGGGTCAACCACGGTGGACAGGTTTCAGTGGAGCTTCCAGACCAAGATAGATTTGGAAGAAGGAAGGGACCATCCACTTCTCAAAGAATTGGCCAGTGAAAACCTGATGAATAGCAGTAAAACACTGTCTGATATATTACTGGAAAATTTTATGAATAGCCCTGAAACACTGTCTGATATAGTGCCAGAAGTTGAGTCCCTCAAGTCAGAAGGCCCTCAAAATATGAACTGGGGAAGAGCTGCCTCCTCAAAGAAGAGCTGACCTTAACGATGTGATAGACTAAAGATTCCAGGACCTCCATTTGCTGATGTGCCACAACTCAAAATGGGAAGAAATAGCTGCAAACATCTATTAATAATCAGAACATGGACTGTATGAAGTATGAATCTAGGAAAACTGGAAGTTGTCAAAAATTAAATGGAACGCATAAAGATCACTATCTTAGGCATTTGTTGTTGTTGTTATGTGCCATCGAGCCGGAACCGACTCATAGCGACCCCTCCTTGGGTTTCCGAGGCAGTATCACTACGGAAGTAGATTGCCCCATCTTCCTTCCCAGGAGTGGCTGGTGGATTTGAAGCGTCAGCCTTCTGATTAGCAGTCAAGTGCCTTAGGCACTATGCTACCAGAACTCCTATCTTAGGCATTAGTGAGCTCAAATGGACTGGTTTTGGCCATTTTGAATCAAACAACCATATGACCTACTATGCCAGGAAAGACAAATTGAAGAGGAATGGTGTGGCATTCATCATCATGAAGAATATTTCAAGATTTGACTGCTAACCAGAAGGCTGGCAATTCAAACCTACCAGCTACTCCTCGGAAGGAAGACTGAGCAATCTATTTCCATAGTGATACCACCTTGGAAACTCAAGAATGGGTCAGTATAAGTCGCATCTGACTCAATGGCAATGAGTTTGGTTTGGTATGCTGAAATATATGCTGTCAGTGATAGCACAATATCCATGCACCAACAAGAAAGACCAAATAATACTACTATTATTCAAATTTACGCACCAACCACTAAAGCCAAAGAAAATGAAATTGAAGACTTTTACCAACTTCTGGAGTCTGAAATTGACCAAATATGCAATCAAGATGTGTTGATTATTACTGGTGACTGAAATGCAAAAGTTGGAAACAAAGAAGAATTGCCAGCAGTTGGAAGATACAACCTTGGTGACAGAAATGATGCTGGAGAACACATGATAGACTTTTATAAGGCCGACCACTTATTCACTGCAAAACCTTTCTTCAACAACATAAACGGTGGCAATACATGTGGACTTCACCAGATGGAATACACAGGAAACATCGACTACATTCATGGGAAGAGGTGATGGAGAAACTCAGTATCTTCAGCCAAAACAAGGCCAGGAACTGACTATAGAACATACTATCAACTACTTATATGCAAGTTCAAGTTGAAGCTGAAGATAATTAAAACAAGTCCACAGGAGCCAAAATATGATCTTGATTATATCCCTCCTGAATTTAGAGACCATCTAAAGAATAGATTTGATGCACTGAACACCAATGACTGAAAACCAGAAGAACTGTGGGATGACATCACGAACATCATACATGAAGAAATCAAGAGGTCTCTAAAAAGACAGGAAAGGAAGAAAAGACCAAAATGCATGTCAGAAGAGACTCTGAAACTTACCCTTGAATGGAGAGTAGCTAAAGCAAATGGAAGAAATGACAAGATAAAAGAGCTGAACAGAAGATTTCAAAGAGCAGCTCAAGAAGACAAAGGCAATTATTATAATGAAATGTGCAAAGACCTGGAGTTAGAAAAATAAAAAGGAAGAACACTTGGCATATCTCAAGCTGTAAGAACTGAAGAAAAAATTCAAGCCTCAGGTTGCAATATTGAAAGATTCTATGTGCAAAATATTGAATGATGCAGGAAACATCAAAAGAAGATGGAAGGAATATACAGAGTCATTGTACAAAAAAGAACTGGTCAACTTTCATCCATTTCAGAAGGCGACATATGAAGAAGAACTAATGGTATTGAAGGAAGAAGCTGAAACTGCACTGAAGGAACTAGGGAAAAACAAGGCTCCAGGAATTGACAGAATACTCACTGAATGTTTCAACAAATAGATGCTGTGCTGAAGACATTTATTCATCTATCCCAAGAAATTTGGAAGATAGCTAGCTGGCCCAACTGACTGGAAGAGATCCATATTTGTACCCATTCCGAAGAAAGGTGATCCCACAGAATGTGGAAATTATCAAACAATATCATTAATATCACACGCAAGTAAAATCCTGCTGAAGATAATTCAAAAACAGTTGCAGCTATGTTGACAGGGAACTTCCAGAAATGCAAGCTGGTTTCAGAAGAGGACGTAGAACAAGACATATCGTTGCTGATGTCAGATGGAGCTTAGCTGAAAGCAAAGAATACCAGAAAGATAAAATAAAACTCGTGTTTTATTGACTTTGCAAAAGCATTCGATTGTGCGGTTCATAACAAATTATGGATAATATTGAGAAGAATGTGAATTCCAGAACACTTAACTGTGCTCATGAGGAATCTGTACATAGACCAGGAGGCTGTTGTTCGAACAGAACAAGGGGATACTGTGTGGTTTAAAATCAGGAAGGGAGTACATCAGGGTTGTATTCTTTCACCATTCTTAATCCATCTGTATGCTGAGCAAATAATCCAAGAAGCTGACTATGTGAAGAAGAATGCGGCATCAGGACTAGAAGAGGACTCATTAACAACCTGCAATATACAGATGACAAACCTTGCTTGCTGAAAGTGTAGATGACTTGAAGCACTTACTGATAAAGATTAAAGACTACAGTCTGCAGTATGGATTACACCTCAACATAAAGAAAACAAAAATCCTCACAACTGGACCAATAAGCAGCATCACGATAAATGGAGAAAAGCTTGAAGTTGTCAAAGATTTTTTATTACTTGGTTCCATAAACAATATGAATGGAAGCAGCAGTCAGGACATCAGAAATCAAGATGTGTTGATTATTACTGGTGACTGGAATGCAAAAGTTGGAAACAAAGAAGAATTGCCAGGAGATGTACTACACTGAGCAAATCTGCTGCCAAAGACCTCTTCAGAGTATTAAAGATGAAAGATGTCTCTTTGAAAACTAAAGTGCACCTTACCCAAGCCATGGTGTTTTCAATTGCCTCATATGTATGTGAAAGCTGGAAAATGAGTAAGGAAGACCAAAGAAGAATTGATGCTTTTGAGTTGTGGTGTTGGTGAAGAATATTTAAGTACAATGGACTGCCAGAAGAACTAACATGTCTGTCCTGGACGAAGTATAGCCTGAATGCTCCTTGGGACTGAGAATAGCCAGACTTTGTCTCACCTACTATGGTTATGTTGTCAGAAAGGACCATTCCCTGGAGAAGGATATCATGCTTCGTAAAGCGGATGAGTCACTGAAAAAGGGGAAAGCCCTCAACGAGATGGACTGACAGTGGCTGCCAACGATGGGCTCAGGTACAGCAAGGATTGTGAGGCTGGTGCAGGACTGGGCAGTGTTTCATTCTGTGGTACACAGGGTCACTATGAGTCAGAGACAACTTGACAGCACCTAACAACAATAACAACAACATGAGTCAAGTTATAGTTTGAGGAGTTCTAAAGCTTACAGATCCTCTTTATACCTCTCTGGGCCTTCTGGTTTTCTGTTTCCAGCTGATGATTAAAACCACTCTTGGGCTGAGAGAAGAAAGAATAGGAAGACTTAGTTCCTACCCCTTCATGCTGAATAAACAATATTACATTCTGTTTGCTTCATTCATTCAACATTTGTTCATCAGACAAGTATTTGTCCTGCTGC